ATTAGCGGTGCTGACTCTAGCCTCTGGTATGTACGGAATATTAAACATTAAACAAGCTCAACGCTCGAAACAATCGATTAATGTATCGTGATCGTGTGGAATTCGGGAAAGAGAATTACTTTTATTTCAGATTATGATCCGGTGAGTCACAAAATCTGGCAAATTCCGAAATCCGGTATATTCCGGATTCCGGAATCCGGTTGTTCCGGATACATGTAAATCCGGCGGAACCGGATTTCACCGGATAGTGCAAAATCCGGCGGAACCGGATTCCGGACCGGGGTCCGGCACACCCCTAATGCAAAATGTATGCGGGAACGAATTTCAAGATATCTAAATATTTCGGTTTCGGCTTCGGCCGAAATTCATTTTTAACTTTCTGCCTTTTTTCGGTTTCGGCCGAAAGTCATTTTTAAACTTTCGGCCTTTTTTCGGTTTCGGCCGAAAGTCATTTTAAACTTTCGGCCTATTTTCGGCTTCGGCCGAAATCAGAAAATCACTTTCGGTCGGCCTCTAGATACAATGACAACTCCTGCAACCGAACCCATCCCTGGTCGTCTTGACGTAGAGTCTTGCCACTGGATATGGTGGGCTCGGACGCGAGAGTGAGGTAGACGTCGCACAACTCTTCTTCACTTTAAACAAAGTCACCCGCGCAAGTCATCAGTCACCAGACGACTCGATGGTCCTCGTTGATCCGCGACGGACGAGCAATACCACTTTAATTTATGTGTCTGCCATTTTGTTGTTGAAGTGATTATACGCAGTCGACTGCGTATAACCCTGAGAGTTATACGCAGTCGGCAAGTCACGTGAGGTCTATATACTTCCTGTGTTACAGTATCGATCGATAAAGGAATTTCGTTATACACTGGGTGGTCGAATGGTATAAACTGAGCAAACCTCAAGTTGGTGGTCTGGAGTTCAATTCCAGCCAAGGCCAAAGGCCAGTCAAGAATGTATAATAGTGTGTTAGTTGTTATGTTTGTTCTCGACAATGAACCAAAAGCAAAAACAGCTAGGCTTATTGTTTTACTTTTGTATTGGCTAAAAAATGTTAAAACATGATAAGAATTAACTTGACCAATGTAATGTTAATAATTTTATTCTTATACTTATAATTATCATAATATATGTTTGTGTTGTTAATATATATTTTGTGTTGTTAACTAATTTTGTGGCAGATAAAAACAAGTTTCTCTGGTACAGTAATTATAATCAGGGGTGGAGAGTAGCAGAAAAAAATAGCTGTGGGCCAGGGGGTTCTGTAGAGGGGGCACTGTAAGTAATAGTTTCACACAGTTATAGTTTTGCATGAATGCTGAAAACTGTTACATTTAGGTCACCATACAAAAAAAAAATCATAAATGATATAATTTTTAAAAAATAAATAGAGTGTATTTCCTGAATTAGTCAGTAAAACCAACCACATAGTCATAGCAACATATAAAAACCTAATCAATCAGAATACAGAACTAGACTTAAACCATGCAAATGCATTAAGGCATAGTCATCTTTTTAGTCTTAGACTCTAAGAAATGTAGACTTTGAAATTAGATTTATAATTATAATGTATAAGATAAAAGCAATAATACTAATAATGGCACTAATACTATTACTATCATTCAATATTAATTAAAATAAATTAAATTAAAATTTTACGTTAAACACATTAAAAGTTATAGTTCAAAACAACCCATAATGCAGCTAATTACGCATAATACTTTTTTTTAAATTGCCAAACTAGCGGTAATAAACTTTATTTGGCTAAATTCCCAGCCGACTGCGTATAACCCTGAGCGTTATACGCAGTCGGCTGGGAATAACTCTCAGGATTATGCGCAGTTGACTGTGTATAACTCTCAGGAATATGCGCAGCCGACTGCATATAACGCTTCCCTTTTGTTGTTGAGGTAAATGACACTAGTACCAGCAACAAAAATAGGAACACACTAAAAAGTATAACCAAAAAGGCTAAAAGTGGGTAAGTGTAAATAACAATAATGTTTATAATATGATGGCCATATGATAATTTGTCATAGAAAAAGTGACCTTCTAGATGAACTCAGATAAAAGTTCACCCAGTTTTTAAGGATATACCTGAACTTCTGTATATTTCCATGTGTAATTTTGTACCCTATAAAGCAATGGCACTTATCCCATTGTCAAACTATCACTAAACCAAAACTCTTTCTTAAAATATGTTTGTAATACCCCCAGTTACGTTCTTACTTTACTTTTGGATTTTTTACTTTGAATTTCTGCCTTAAAATAACCTTGATAGAAGAAAAGTGTTGTACACATTTTTCAATTCATATATATATGTAAAATTACTCTAACACCCTAATGACTAATGCAAATTTATTTGTACTTTCCAGCTGCTTCTGGTGTAAAACTCAGTGGTTACCCCTTCCGTCATTGTGTGTTGCCTAATTTCA